TTTACTTTATATATATATATATGTATAAAGTGCACTCTAATTGTTCAAAATGATCAAACTGTATTTGACACAGGATGTAAAAACATCTTTTAGATGATACCAATTGTTGGAAACTTGGAATTGTTCAAAATGCACTTCAAATTTGTATGGCATGGTGTTTTCAACCAAAATCTACAAATTTGCAGGGGAAATTCTGTCCCCAAGCTTCATTAAAACATCCAGTAAAATTAGAAATGGTGTCTCTCAAATCAATGAAGTATTATTGACATGTAAATAATAACAAATAATCAATATCCACTAGCAGCGGCTCCAGTGGCAAAATTAGCTGCGCCGAAGGATCAATTTTGGTTAAATTTACAAACTTGAAAGACCAAATCAAAAATTTTTTTAGTTTAAAAACTAATTTAAAATTAAAGATATATTAATCTAAAAATGCTCGCAAAACCAGAGGGGTACATCAAAACCATTAAACATTTAAACCCCTAAAAAAAAAAAAAAAACATGTCCTAACCTTTTGGGTGTAAAACCCCGTGCCGTATTAGCATGCTCTAACTTAACCTCTTTTGCCACCAAACCCATGTTCCTGTAGCCGTACAGCTTACGCCTACTTTTTTTTGGTTTTTTTTTTGGTTTTCCGTCCGGTATCCGAAATTTTGCCTCGATTAATCCGAACTCGACTCGCGTCGCGCACCTGAAAATGGTGGCTGAGCCTCCCAACAGAAACTGCTGCACACACAAAGGCTCGAACTCGAGACTTGCTTAAGCTGGAACAAACCACTTACCACTTTATCCAACCCCTCGTTGGTAGCTTACGCCTACTCTACTGTCCCTACTCTACTGTCCCTAAAGAGATGCATCAATCACACGGTGATCCAGCAACGGAGAAAGTCTAAACAAAGGCCACAGTTTCTTCCGGACGGGGGCCGCTCCTCCTACTGTCGGTGTCTATCTCTAAGCCTCGACCTAGACCATGGACCACGTGTACGGCCACAATAGACCGATAACCAAAAGCAAACAGATCGTCCCCGCCGTCCGATCACTTCCCTCCCAGTTCTATCTTATCCCTCCCGAGTTTCCGACCAAGTCAAAATTGCAGCCGCGCCTCACCTTATCACATCTCTTCTTCTTCTCCTGGACTCCAACCCCACTTCAAATTCTAGTTTTAGAAATCCGTTCAAATCCGTAAATAACCCGAAGAAAAAGTAACCATGTTTATCTCATTCCACGTGGCAAACCTTTTAGCCAAAGAATTAACGCCACGTGGAAATGCTGTCCCCCAACAACCAACCCCTAATTCCCTAATGAAGAAAAAAAAAATTTTTTTAAGGGATTTTAAATAAAAAAAAAAAAAAAGTTAACAATTACTAACATTAGTAGTCTCCGTCTCCGTGTCTGCCATTGCTGCTTCCATTCAGATGATTTGTTTTGGTTCTCTCCTGTATACTACTGTGTAAATTCCCGTTATCTTCTTCTTATTAATTCCCCGTTCATCAATCTTTCACTGAGAGCAAGCGGAGATGGACGCAGGAGCGCAATACAATCCAAGGACGGTGGAGGAGGTGTTCAGAGATTTCAAGGGCCGCAGAGCCGGCATGATCAAAGCCCTGACCAGTGGTCTCTTTCCGCTTTCCATTTTTCAATTCTTTGTGTTTTCTCTGAATTTTCGGTTTTTCTTACATCAACTCGGGATTTAGGGTTTTTCAATGGTTTTTATTTCTCTGCTTTTTTCTACAGTTTAATTTGTACTAATTCACTTGCTTTTTGCGTTTATGTTGTGGTGCGCTGTTGCAGATGTTGAAGAATTTTATCATCAGTGTGATCCTGGTTAGTATTTCTTTTTCTCTTCATCTATTGGCTCATTTATTCCACCGTGCTACTGTTTGGTGCTGTGAGTTGTAGTTTTTCTGTGCAAAAGCTTTCGGTTTAAATTTGCAATATTTCGTGGTGATTGATGAAGTTCATATTTGGGTGTTAGTAGCTTGATCTTGTTTCATTTCTGTAAAAGGATACCCTTAGGAAAATTCACACGAAAAATTTTGCTCCTATCTTTAAAATATTCTAAGTTTTATTTTTTCTGCTCTTGAGCTAGTTGAAACAGGTGGACGTTCCATGCATGCTCTCATATGAGAGCTTGAGAAACTAATAGGAAATTATTTTTGGCAATTATGCTTCTTGAAGATGCATGATG